GGTCATTAACCCCAGACATACAGAGCTGACAGGTCATGAGCAGATCAGAGGTCATTAACCCCAGACATACAGAGCTGACAGGTCATGAGGAGATCAGAGGTCATTAACCCCAGACATACAGAGCTGACAGGTCGCCACAGCGTGTGACCTCAGAGTGTGTCTCTCTGTCCTCTAAGGCCCGTTTCTCTGGTGGCAGTATGAACCCTGCTCGTTCCCTGGGGCCAGCCATCATCACCGGGATCTGGGAGCATCACTGGGTGAGTCGCATTGGGAACACTGGGGGAGTGAGGGGTCTGAGGTCATCTCAATATTATTTCAGACCGAGCACCAGTTCATCAACTTCTCTGTTGCACTCTGTTGATTTTGAGACTGTTGATACTCCCCTCTCCGGGTGTACTGATCGGATATACTCTCCTCTCCAGGTGTACTGATAGGGTGTACTCTCCTCTCCAATTGTATGGATCGGATATACTCTCCAGGTGAACTGATCAGATATACTCTGTTCTCCAGGTGAACTGATCAGGTGTACTCCCCTCTCCAGGTGAACTGATCAGATATATTCCCCTCTCCAGGTGAACTGATCAGGTGTACTCTCCTCTCCACGTGAACTGATCAGGTGTACTCTCTTCTCCAGGTGAACTGATCAGGTGTACTCTCTTCTCCAGGTGAACTGATCAGGTGAACTGATCAGGTGTACTGATCAGGTGTACTCTGTTCTCCAGGTGTACTGATCAGGTGTACTCTCCTCTCCAGGTGAACTGATCAGGTGAACTGATCAGGTGAACTGATCAGGTGTACTCTGTTCTCCAGGTGTACTGATCAGGTGTACTCTCCTTTCCAGGTGTACTGGATTGGGCCGATGATGGGTTCGGTTCTGGCGGGGGTGTCCCATGAGTTCTTCTTTGCAGCCAGCGCCTCTCGACAGAAGCTGATCGCTTGCCTGACGTGCAAGGACATCGAGATCGTGGAAACAGCCAGCCTGTCGCGCTCTTCGCTGTCCACCGTCACCCAGACCGCCATGAGGGCCAAACAGGCCAACAAGCATGACCACAACTGACCGCTGGGACTGCCCGTCCGTGTGCTGCCCTGCTACACTCAGCACGTGGGACTCAGAATGACAGCGGGAGGCCTGACCCAGACTGCCCACGAGCTCTCAGTGAAGGCAAGCGCTTAGAACATAGCTTCTCAATCAGTCCACTGCAGGGTTTTAGCAAAGCCAGCTCTTCAGTTGTTGTATTGGTTGATAATGAATGAAATGTTGTCGTGTGGGGATGGCTGAACCAAAGACCTGCACTGGATCGAGTGGAAGGTTTGTTATTTGGTTACTTCTTCCTTGCCCAAAGACCCGGGGTCTCAGTTCCTGGGGAGACCTGTCTCACTGGGGTTTTGTTCCAACCGCATTCTCAAGTTCTTTTTTTGCTCTAACCGTTTAATTAGCTGCATGATTGTGATACTTCTATCCAGTCTCTGAATTTTAGTGCAGTGACTTTCATGTGTAATCAACAGTAAAAAACTGAAAAAAATCCTAATTAAAAAAAATTCTAATCAAAAAAATACCATCTTCATTGTTTAATTGACTATTCAGGTTGTATCAAAACCCAGAAGACTCATTGACTTCCAGGAATGGAGTCTGAGAATCCTGGCTGCAAACACATGCGGACTGTCTAGATGACCACAGGCTGACACATGACCACTCGCAGCCCAGCGTGGGTCTGATTTTCTGCAGTGATGTCAGTGAGAGCCCAGTGACTCACCTGTCAGGCGCTGTGGAGCTCAAAGATGGCCGACACCCTTCTTCATTCAAGGGCCGTTGCTGTTAGCGCACACATGAAGAATGGAGTGTGTGGGTATAAAATGAAAGAGATCTAGAACTGTTGAGAGCATTTTTGTTTTCACAGCTGCATATTTCTTTTCAGCAGATGTTCATGGTTGTGTAATGGCAAATATTCCTTCCAACAGAATGGAGGTTTGCCATGTAAAACAACCCACAAGTGCAATATTTCTAAGTATTATACATGATGTGATCTGGTTATATTAAATAATATTATAATTATATTATATATTATTATACAGAAGCATCTTATTAGATTGAATAGTAAATTGGTACGGAAGATTTTTCATTAATCTAGCAAAGACTGATGAATGAATGATCAATTCATTCACATTCTTTACTGACCAGTCCTGTCCTGTTCTTTACTGACCTCTCCAGTTATACCCTGACAATCAACCAGTCCTGTTCTTTACTGGCCAGCACAGTCCTGTTCCTTACTGACCGGTCCGGTCCAGTCTCATATTGATACGAACACTGGTCAGATTGCTATTTTGGTGCCATTCAACCCCTCCAGCCCATTAACTAGTTATCAATCAATAGTTAGTAGACCAGTTATCAGTTATTAGATGAGAGGATCACATCCTCTTCTTTAAAGAAGCCAGGGTATCAGCTTCAATTCCACTACTTGTTCCACATTCTGGAAACTACAGGGAAATCGTTTACACCTGTGACATTTGTTTTTTAATCCAGAGTAAAACTACAAGCGAGAAATGAGAGAACTGACTGCACTCTTCCCCATTTGCAAATAATTCAGGATGGGCTCTGGGTAGCTTTGTTCTTAGTCTTAGTTTTTCTACTTTGTACACATTAATGTACACTCAGCTAATATATTGGCAAGAATGTCATGCCTGAATCCATCGAGGACCTTGTTGATGTATTTGGTCTGATGAACTTACAGTAAAATAAAAATAAAGTAATACCTTATTACTGTATTTCCATTTCTTGTGCCGTATGGGCTGACCCACATTGAAGTCAATCCCAGCTAGCTTGATTTCCTGCGTCTTTCCAAATGCATAGTAAATACACCGCATTTATACTGCACTTGGTTTGAAGGCCCATATAGCTGCCTCTCTGCCAGAGTTTGAGTTAATCTTGAGGAGGCAAGCCTGTTCTTCCAGCACCGAACGATCTGAATATTGAAGGAAGTGCATTAAGAATACGTCCGCAGGAAACAGATCAAGAGCGAACATGGGAGACGATGCTAAACGGCGACATCTGCTGGTGGATATTGGGAAAGTCGAAACGTTTTTTTAAGCCTAAGGAGGCAAATTTGGGCGGTACGGTGGTGCAGTTGTTAGACTTGCCGCCTCAAAGCGCTGGTGCCCCGGGTTTGATTCTGAACCTGGGGTGCTGTCTGCGTGGAGTTTGCATGTTCACCCCGTGTTTGTGCTGGTTTTCTCCCACAGTCTAGAGGCATGCTGGTGGGTGAACTGTCTTCTGGGAAAACTGGCCCTGGTGTGAGTGTGAGTGTGCACCGCACCTTGTGCTGGGATAGGCTCCGACTCCTCAACGACCCTGCTTGGGAAGAAGCGGATTCAGAAATGGATGGATGGATGAAGGTCAATTCTTTCCATGTCCTCCAGTCGTCCGTCCTTCTGTAGACGTCTTACAGTCAGAGTCGCCCCTGGGCTTGCTGAGGCAGATGTGCTGAGCACCCTCTGCTTTGTCACACCAGAGTATGCCCACTGCAGCTGAGCTTAATTGCCTAACTGAAGCCTTAATCGAACTCGCAGTTTGCTTGATTGGTAAGTTTTATGATGTTTTTTTTATTACTCTAAAGTTTGGAATTTTATGTTACATATTAAGATGCAATTGCTGGAAAGCGACTTTGAACACGTTCCGCGTGTCCAAGAGCTGAACACAGCCAGACGCTTCGAACACATCCTACTCACGAGTCAATTAAGTCTTCGGCCAGGCAGCGGAGCCCAGCCGCGATGAAGCCCGGCGGGAGCGGGACTCTTGCTGTGAGCACGTGTGCAGGACCCGGCGAGTCTCTCCAGCTTTCCTAACACATCGCCGCAGGGGAGGACGGGGGACAGACTGGATACTGATCACTTCTCCGCCGCCGTGTGTTGAAAATCAGTGGGTTTTAAGCACCGCGGGAAAGAGATACGCACTGCGGAACTGTTGACAGTTCCTCTGTAGAGGACAACGGTTTTTGCGTTGGGGAATGGACGTTGTGGAACCTGCTCGGGTGGGTTAAGGATCGGCGCGCTGTTTTCCTCCTCCTTCGCGTCTGTGTAACTTTTTTTTCCCGCCCCGGAAAGAGGACCTCGGCGGGGGGGGGACCACGCGATTAAAATCTGCCCCGGACCTCATAAACCCCGCTTCATCGCTAGGACCCTTCCC